ATGTTTGCCGACGAGACATATCTTTTTTTTATCTCATTGTAACATTGAATTAACAAAAGTTTCTGAATGGTTTAAAATGAATAAGCTGTCACTAAATGTTGAGAAAACTAAATATATACTTTTTCATCAAACTTCAAAACAAAAAAACTTTTACAAACATCAAACTATTAACTTTTTAGGAATAAATATTAATGAAAAACTTATTTGGAAGTATCACAATGATTTGTTGTGCAACAAAATTGCTCAAAATATAGGAATAATGTACAAAGCTAGAAATGCTTTAAATAAACACAGTTTAACACAATTATATTTCTCTTTAATCCATTGCCATATAAATCATGCAAATATTGCAAGGGTAATACCAACAAATCTAAACAGCTATCTCGTTATCGTCAGCAGAAGCATGTTGCTCGTCTTATCAATTATAAAGACCGATTTGCTCATGCCAAACCATAATTATTTCAAATGAAAATTCTAAAAATTTATCAGCTAAATATTTTTAATATACATTGTTTTGTGTTCAAGTGTAAAACCAACGAATCTCCAGTTTCTTTTCATAATCTATATACCTTAAAAGATAAAAATAAATATAACTTAAGAAATGATGATGTAATGCGGCAACCTTTATCTTTAACTAATTTTGGAAAGTCATGTATTTAATATTGAGGAACTTTTTTTTGAAACAAAATGGTTTTAGCAAAATTTTGATTTTTCCCATGAATGGAACTATCTTTCATTCAAGAAAAAACTAAAAGAAATTGTTTTATCTTTTGAAGACATGTTTTTATATTTTTAAATTCTTTTAAAAATGAATATGAAGTTTACCACATAGGGTAATATATAAATATTATATCTGGTCCACAACTTATTTGTTTATGAAAACAGCACTTTTTAAAATATTTTTGTATTTATATATATAAGAGTTTCAAAAATTTCTTCATTCCAATTTTAATTATATATTATTACGAAATTTACGTTCTCACTAGTTTTTACTAATTTTTACTACATGTTATTTGGTTTTTATACTTCATGTTAATTTAATTTACTTAATATTCACGAGCGGTTCTCGATGATAAGACCTGAAGGTCTTCTGCGAGTCTCCGCGTTCTTTTTTTTGTATATATTTTCTTTTATTGTATAACGATTTTTATTGTATAAGCTAAATTGAATATTCAAGGAAAGAACAAAAAAAAAATTACTGAAAAAGTTGAAATCCTATCAATTTATGTGTTCGGTCTGCTGTTACCTCGATGTATTAGAGTTAATAACTCCAGTATCAAAAATTTCAAAAATACAGGGCTTATGGCTTACGAAGTAGAGCCAACTATTCAAGAAACAAAATTGAACTTGCAAGATGCCATTCAATGCCCCATTGAAGAAGATATACTGACAAGCCACATTAGCGTCATTTTTGATTTGTCATTGTATTAGCAAATGAAGTAGTTTCTAAATGTTTTAAAGGAAAAGATGTCCATTAATTGAAAAAAGATTGCAGACAAGTTAGAGTCAAGTTTTAAATGAGTAATGGTAACGAAGATATCGGTCAAAAAAGCTGAAACTTTTATAGAAAAACTTAATTTAGTACTCAAGAGTCGTTTCTTGTTTAGTAGCTGTTTTTCTGAAACACGCACACCGATATACAACAATATGAGGTGGTTTGGAATTAGAAAACGAATCTATTCAAGTTGAAATACTTTATGCTCATTTTGAAGGAGTTTTGGATAAAACGGAATTTTTAATTAAGAATTGTTTACAAAAACTAAAAAAATTAAAAATTTTTGTTAAGGTAAATTACCTTGCTAAAGCAGCTCGCGATATATGGAGCCATATTTTAAAAAGTCGTCGGAATGAGTACCCAAACTAATAGTGATAGGGAAAATGTGATTGAACGTGTTACTGATGTTTTTTTACAAAAACGACGAACAGCTACTTTTGATTTGATCAGTCTAAGACCTGCTAAAAAAGAAAATGGCGAAAAAGAAGTCATAGATTTCGTTGAAACAGAATTAAGCAGTGAAAGTGAATTGGAATTATCAGAATCGAGTGGAAGTGAAGAAACTGTGTTAGATTTTGAAATTGGAGAAGTTTTGCCCTAATTTTTGTAAAACAATTCTATATAAATAAAATATGACTATACACGTTTCCTTTTTTATCCTACGTATAAAAAAATGCCTTCATGTTTTCTTTGTTATACTAACACCATATTTAATGCATTTAAATTCATTATAAATATATTTTACTGCAATATAATTGGTATCTAAAATAAAACTGAATTTTAAAGACAACAAGCGGTTGAAATCAAGCTTTTCTTCATTTGCAAAACGCTACTTTATACTTGCTTATATTGTATAAGAAGTAATGGAAGCCCCGGTTTCTTAAGAAATTATTAATACTTCTAAATAAAAACTTTTTTTTTTGAGATAAATCAGATTAACTATTTCCGATCAGGAAATAGGCATAAGTAAAGCGAAGTTATAAAAATATAAATTATAAAGAGTTTAAGTGAGTTTTTAATTTGCACGCCCAATAGAATGCAAGAGTAAGTAAACAATTAAATTGCAACAATAACATAGTTACGCAACATATTACGAAGCTATTACCAAACAATTCTAAAACTATCGAACTCTTTGATTCTAGGTTTGAAAATAAAAAAATGTGTGGCTATAACTTAAAAAACTTGAAAAAAACTTATCTTAATTTTAAATTTTAAAAAGTATTCAACTCATTTACTGCAGTTTTAAGTACTTAAGCTACATTTTGAACAATTAGTCTCTAACTTATTATTTTAAAACAATTCAAAAATATTTAATAACATTTTCATTCAAAAAGAAGTAGAGAAATGAATGAATTTTTAAATATGTTTTTCTAAGTTTGAAAAAGTCCGTGCGAGATCATCTAGAAGGGCGGCCCTCTAAGTCCGCCAAGTCTATTTAAGACGGGCTTTTCATAGCCCGTACGGTTTTTACTACTGCCGAGGCCTGTATATATATGGAGACACCACAAGTATGTCATGAGTAATATATTTTCTTTTTTCCTGCTTTGTTAAAAGTTTAACTTTTTTTAGTTGGACTTATCTATATCAATAATTAGGATTAAAAAATCATGTTTTATTTTGTTTGTTTATTTTAGGACTACGAAGACGACATCCTTTTAATGGCTATTGTGTATTATTTAAATCCTCGCTTTACTGTTATTAAGCAAAACATAGAAGTCACTAACATGCAGCTAGCAGACTACTATGGAGGAGACAAATATCTTGTTTTTTTGGTAGTTGCTCCCCAAAAAGGTTGTTTATATTATACACGCTAAACTGTCGTTTTTTTATTCATTTAACCTAGTATATCTTTAGTTCAAAATCATTTTGGTTATTGTTGGCAGTTTATATTAACAAATGTTCTTCTTTTATTGATAAAGACAAGTAAATTATTGAAATCATTAAGTTTAAATGAACCATAGAGACATTTTTTAAGAACTTTTTTAATGAGTAGAATATAAACAGGAACATCTTTTATGTACTTTATAATAAAATATGTGTGTATGTTATTTTTTAGATTTTTTTTTTTGTTTGAAACTAGCATGAAATAGACTGAAACGCTATAATTTAATATATATATATAAATATATATATATATATATATATATATATATATATATATATATATATATATATAAATATATATATAAATATATATATAAATATATATATAAATATATATATATATATATATATATATATATATATATATATATATATATATATATATATATATATATATATATATATATATATATATATATATGTATATATATATATATACAGGGGCGGACGCAGGTTTTTAATTTACCCCGTCAAAAAAATGCGCCTTACGCCATGTTGTAAGTGACGCAACTACGCTCACAAAGCAAATAGAAAAAATCAGGGGGGGGAGGGGGAATAAGTAAGACTATGTAGTTAAGAGGGGTGGGCAAAATTTTCTTTTCGTTCGATCCAAACGATTAAAGGGGGTGATTTACAGGTTTAACGATTTTTAAGCAGGCAAGCCAAAAAAAAAAGAATTTAGACTACTCAATTTTATGCCACTTTTAAACAGCCTACCAAGTTTACTTACGTTTTTACAAAATGTTTTTATAAAAAAAACATCTAAGGGAGGCCATCGCTTCCATAGCCTGCCCCCTATGTATCCCCTAAATCCTCCTGCCCTTGGGCTGGAGGATTTAAAAAGATTTTCTGTTTGCTATTTCATTGAGAAGCTCATATCTTAGTTTTACTTTGAAACTTTTTTTCTATATAAATATATAATAAATATATAAACCAACAAATGATTTTTTCGCCCAATATCAGGGCTCATCAGCATGTCTAGGAACATATTTATTCCGGACATGGACAATCAGAGAAAGAAAAATTAAGAACTGAAAAGAGAAAGACAAAAATACAAATAGATTTATATACATCGTGAAATAAAAAGTTATATATATTCTTATATAACAAAAAAAAAGACATACCAAGTTAAGCTTTAATAACATAAAAGAAGATCATTTTTGATGAAATAAAAAGAAAGCTAATGGTTTTGACAACTACAGCAAAAAACTGATTTAAATGGCACAAAAACTTATGAATATTATTAGGTTGATTGAGAGAAAATTTATTGAAAATATATTTTTTATTTTTTAGTTTGTTGCTAGAAAATGATATAAAGAGATGGTTAATGTTTGCCTCAAAAAGAGATGGTTAATGTTTACCAATGGTCAAAAAGAGATGGTTAATGTTTGCCTGAACTATGATCACTAATCATATAGCTAATCCCAAACAAAAGTATGGGGTTACATTTAACCCGTCCTGTTAAGGACACTATTAAAGTCTTGGCCTTTCCAGGGGTTTCCATGCCTATTTGTTAGCTGTTATATGAAGAGAGGTGATAATTTCAAAGACAAAAATTTCAAAAGTTGTTGGTGTGTTATAGAATAAACAGTGTAGACACTAATCATTGAAATCAAGTCATCTATTTTTTTATAGAAAATCTATTGATAACATTATCAATACAAGGAACAATTTCTTGATGGATATACATTAATGCCAAACCGTTAAGTCGATATTCTGACATTGTTGTTCTCATATAGTCTTTTAAACGACGCATAACAGAAAAACTCCTCTCACACTCACATGAAGTAACAGGAAGTGTCCCAAGTATCCTTAAAGCTATCTTAATATTTTCAAATCCAGAAAATGATATCGATTTAAGAGTTAAAGATATATTGTCTGGAATAGTCCTAGAGAAACTTTCCCAGTATTTTTCCCAAAGAACTAGTTCCCCATTCAAGGCACTGATATTAGGGAAATCATCTATATAAAAATCACAGAATGTTTCAAACTGCTTCCTCCAACACAATTGGGTTTTGGGTCTTTTAAGAAAAGAAATAATGTTAAATAGAATAATTGATAACCCTTTATATGCAGCTACAGTTTCTGATTTAAATCTTGTAGATATAGATGTAGATACATGATCTATAAGAGGGATAGTAACAGCTCTTTTGAAGTATTCTGAAACAGACTCTGATGGAACATTAGAACGATTTTTTTGAATAGAACAGATTCTTGGTTTTAAAACAAAAATTTCACCTTTACTTGAAAGCAAACATGCTGCTTCATAGCAGTTATTATGAAAACTATCTATATCGTTTCTGATGGAAATAAATGTACTTTTAAGAGCTGTAATAAGGTACAAACTGTCTAAGATATCAATAGTTTTTGATTGCAGTAATTGAGTAACAGGTAAAGTAAAATCAAAGACACGTGTTGTCACAACTAAAGTAAAGAGGAATTGAAAAGTGCCAATGGAATTTAAAAAAGTAGAAGATTTGTTTTGTGTGTCTTTGTTAACAGAACTCTCAAGGGAAGCCATGATACATAAAGTATGGAAAATAGATGAATAATGCTCAAGAAAAGTGTTTAAACCATCTATACGCTCAATCCATCTAGTTCTACAGATATCTTTTAATTTTTTTATGCGTATGAGGTTCTATCTCTTAAATGCTAGCTTCTAAAAACTTTTGTCTACTTTCTGAATAATTAAAAAAATAAGAAAGTTCGCGAACTTTATTAAAAACCTCTGAAACTAATTGGACATTACACGATTTAATTTAATGGGAGTAAGTGGTGAGATCTCTTGGTTAAAAAATATTTTATACTTTTCAACACCGAAATCTGGGTAAGAGGAAACAATATTACAAGAAAAGAACCGATGATAAACCTAACAAACATAAAAAACCAGCCCATTTCTCTGTTCTCTCACAGTTTGCAATTGCTTCAGCTTTAATAATATTATTATTTTCGAAGCTAAAATCTAATGCAGAATGAAATTTTGACATACACAACAAACTTTTGAGATTAATAAAATGAGAACTATAATCAGAAAATATTTTTGAAATTAAAGAATGCTTACAGTAATAATCAGCATGTATATAAATTTCAAGGGATGTTAAAACTTTTAACACATCCATCAGTGTATTGTCAGCAACAAAAAATAATGATGCAGAGCTGTACATACAACTTCCAGATGCTTCAGACCTTAAGAAAAAATATATATATTTACTTCATGTTTTTAAGAGCTAAACTTCTTTTATCAATAAAATTAAAATTGAGTAAAAAATCTTTGCTTTTTAAACAAATTCATAAATCAAATCAATAGTCAAAAATTCAGACAAACCAACAAATGATTTTGACATGTAGGAGTTTAATACATAAATCATGAACATATTATATTCATACATGTCAAAATCACTTGACGGTGTTGACACTTATTAAATATTGATTAGTCAACGAGATTTTTTTATAGATTAGATTAATACGGTATTAACAATAAATATTTTTACAAAAAAGTATTTAATTTTGTAATAAAATACAATAAGATAATTATTTTTGAAAAAAAAGTAAATTGACTTACCTTAGAGAAATACAATGCATTTTATTGTCTTTTAAGTAAGAAGGGATACAAAATTCGGCACATATATTTCTTCTTATTGACAATAAGATGGCACAATAATTTTGTGCCATCAATAAAACGACTTAAAAGACCTTTGTTACTAACCATTTTGTTATTGTTGTAAATAAATGTATCCAATAAAGTTTCATAAAAAGTATTTAAATCGACAAGATTATCGGTTTTAAATCTTTTAAGTACATCATCAATCAAGTTGTAAGCCATGCTTATACGTTAAAATTTTAAGGAAATACTTTGTTTTTACAACGGAGTTCTTTGAGTTCCTTGAGTTCTTTTGAGTTGTTTATCGATCTTTGCAACCAATCAAAATACTGCTGCAAATGCTGCAAAGGATAGTTTACACTAAACATGTTTTTTTTTTTTTAACGAATTGAATTGCTACTTTTAATAGCGTAAACCAATGAACTTATCCAATTTTCTCATATCCTGCAAAGTAGAGTTTACATTAGCAAGTTTTATAAAACACTTTTTCAAACGTCTGCAAAGCATAGTTTTCACTGTAATCTTTTTCTAATTATATTTTCTAACAAAAATATATAGATCGGCAATAAACTTTAGGCGGGCGTTAGACGTCATAATACTTATATTTATTTTTGTTTTTTACCCCGTCACTTGCAGCACTTGACGGGGTTTAAGTCCGCCCCTGATATATATATATATGTATATATATATATATATATATATATATATATATATATATATATATATATATATATATATATATATATATATATATATATATATATATATATATATATATACATTGCATCAATAAAGACGTTTTAGGTTGAATGTCATGATAATGGAAAAAAATTTGACTTTTACCATGACATTCAAACTATTAGACTATGTCAACCTGACAAGGAAACGATTGAAAACAAAATAAAAACCGCAACTTCTAGGGAGATTTGAATGATTTTTTAATGAAACACTCCGCACAAAGGTGAATAAAATAGGTGTATGCACTGACATGTGTAATATTATTATTTATTACAAACACATTAGTTTATGCATTGGTAAATTTTACCTTGAACTATTGATGTTTAATAAATAACAGTTTTAGAAAATTTTATATCTTAATAATCAATTTAATCTTAATAATCTTTATTTAATAGCAAATTGGCAAGATTTAAAAATTTAAGTAATTTTTAATATTGAATGTAGTTAAATATTGTTAAATAAATCATATACATGTTCTTTTTTTTATTAGAAAATGTCTCAATTGACTCTCTAAATTCTCATACTTAAGTATGTGACTGCCATTTTCATCAATTTTTCTCCGTGTGATTTATTAAGTTCTGATATTGAAAACCTCTTCATTGTTTTATTTATGTTTTTGTGTACAGACTCAGAGGTTTGTTCACTGAAAACACCCACGGGTCTTTTTTTTCTTTCAATAAAAAAGCAAGATGGGCTTGAATTATGTGTAATTTCCATCCCAGGCTAACGTTTACGTTGCTAGGCTTAACGTTGATTTAACGTTTAGAATAAAAGTTTTTTTCAACGTTGATTTATCAACGTTAAATCAACGTCAGATTCAAACGTTATGTCAACGTTGATTCGACGCAAAAAAACGATACAATAACGTTGAATTTACGTTGATTCAACGTTTAGAATGAAAACTTTTTCAACGTTGATTTATCAACGTTAGGTTCAAACGTTATATAACGTTAATTCGACGCGAAGAAACGCTATAAAAACGTTGAATTTAAGTTTAAAATGATTTTTTTAACGTTAATTCATCAACGTTAAGACGACTGTTAAAACACTTTTTTACCATCAAATCGTGCTATGTAAGTCAAAATGTATGTATATTTGTAAACGTGCTATGTGCGTCAAAATGTGATCACCATCAAAACGTATTATGCATGTACATGTACAAAAAATATCTTTAGGCATAAAAATTGAAATTATCTATGCCTGAGGGTTTTATGTATAAATATATACATACATATATATATATATATATATATATATATATATATATATATATATATATATATATATATATATATATATATATATATATATATATATATATATATATATATATATATATATATATACATATATATATATACATATATATATATATATATATATATATATGTATATATATATGTATATATATATATATATATATATATATATATATATGTATATATATATATATATATATATATATATATATATATATATATATATATATATATATATATATATATATATATATATATATATATATATATATATATATATATATATACGTTAAACCCTCATGATAAGAGTCGGAAATCAGCAATGCCAACCTTAAAGACTTTGAAGTCGTCAAAAAACTAATGACCTCGTTTCTGTTTGATGATAACTCCTTTATGCCATATATATTTTTTGATACCTCTAGATAAGATTGATGATACCTCTAGATAAGATTCATGAACTGCTAGACATAAGGTGCATTGATACTTCATCTAGATGTTTGATATTGGAACCTGTAAAATATCATTACTATTTTGTAGTAAAAATTATAATAACTCATTTATTTTTAAACAAAAAATCTAACTCTTACTAAATCATAGTTCAAGCATATTAAATAATTGCCTACTTGGAAAATAATCTGGATATTCTCTTTGTTTATGTTTTTTTTTTTTGAGAAAATCAACATCCTCAGTTTTTCTTTTTTCCTCAGTCATTGTGAATTTAAAATTTTCACATTATTATTTGTTTTCTATGGAAATGAAATAGTTGAAAAATGCTTCTTGAAAAATCTTCTTTTTAGCTTATTATTTAGATTTTAAAAAATAATTAAGAAATAGATGTTATACCTGAAGAGAACTTAAGTTTTATTAGTGGAAACTTCAGCCAATTTTTCCCAGGATTCTAACAACAATTCAATATCTTATAATAATTTTAACAAATAATAAAATAAGGAAACCATAATATAAAAACTATTTGAAAACATTATATTATAGTACCTGGACTACTGTTAAAGGGAAAACTAGACTTTTTACAACTTTGACTCTTTTTAAATAATGATTTTAGGTGTTATTAGTGGTTATGAGATTCCTTTTTTTGTTATTAAATAGACTTATTTTTTTTTTAATTATTCTGCAGAAGTCTCTCTTTAAAATTTATAACTTAACAGCAAGAGTGCTTGTTTAGGTTTCAAAAAAATCAAAACCAATCATATCAAAAACTGTTAAAGCAATTGTACTTATTTTAATTTCAGTATTAGATATATAAGAACACAAGGTTTAGAATAAAAGAGAAAACTCAGTACATTAAGAATAGGATTGCAATAATCCCATGTTAAAACATATATATTAAACATAAAGACAAAATACTTTATTATAAATAAATAATAATAATCAGAAATACAATAGCAAAGTATATGGCATAATATCACACAATCTGAATGTTCTCTGATTACAAAAGAATATTTGCTTAAAAAGAAGCATTTAACCTTTTTTTAAATTTAATGTCTAATAGTAATACTATTACTTTGGTTTTGAAATTAGTATACTAAAAGCTGTTTCTGGATTAAACAAAGATTATTAAGTTTTTATAAATAAAACAATACTTATTGATGTAAATATCAATGGTTTACCTTTATTTAGTTCTAAATTAATACTAATACCTTGGTAGTCAATACTAATAGTATTGACCACCACACTTGCTTTCGACAGCAACTGATTTTGGAGTCTGAAGTAAAGTTCTTTTACAAGAACTTTTAAAAGAAAATGCCACTCTAATGTTCTAGTTATGGCAGAATCATCTTCTAGTAGTGAAGAAAAGAAACTTAAGAGAAATAATGACAAATCAAAATATACACAAAACTTTTGTTTTTATTTTGATTGTCATTATTTCTCTCAAGTTTCTTTTCTTCACTACTAGAAGATGATTCT